TTAGTTGGGTTTTTGATTTTTCGATCAATTGATATGGTTCAATAATACTACTCGCTGCGCCTACACGCCGTGCCTTGACACTTAACACCAATTTGGTGGGCTGTTTGAAAGAGTATGAACATCTTCATTGTGTATGATTTAAGCGAATGTCACAATTAATGATCTTAAATTCACAATCTAGAGATACTTAAATAAGTTGTAAATAATCAGATAATCACTTATAGGTGTAGATTATTAAAACTCGTGATCAAATTCATAACTAAATGTTCAATACTTACTCGAGTTATATTGTTCTCCAACTTTCAAGAAAGATCATTTTCGTCCTCAATATTTCAATTTAATTGCATTGTCAGTCCACCTACCTTTTTACGTAAAAAAATTGTTGAAAAGACAACTCTAACCTTATTGTGAACTCGCACAAGACATGAAAAGTATGAAAATCTTATTTTGTTGGAAGAAATGGCACAAGTTCCTCGAACGTCGTCTTTGGCTAATTTAAAAAATAATGTGGAATAAATAATCTATGACAGTTGTAGACAAAAGTTACTTCGATCGTTACCAACAGATAATGTGATAAGATTTGATTGAGTCAAAATCTCACCAATCAACTAATAAGAGAAAATTCTCCCACTTTCTTTTTATCACATAATCAATCTGTAAAAGAATTTGTAAATAGTGATATACAACAATCATTTTTCAAGTTACTTTACCTTTTTTAAACGTAGGTTATATAATGTCAAAATGTACGAACTCGAGTGATTCGACCCGTTAAAATAATTACAAGTGGGTTGGGCCCACGACGGGCTGTCCATGGGCTAACCCACTATTTTTTTTTTCTTTTTTTTTTTGGAGAAAATTACATATAAATAGGTATTTAAGTTTTCTAATTTAAAAATCAGGTGTGATGTTTAGTTAGGACCCGTTTGATTCTCATTATTGTAGAATGAGAATGAAAAATATAGCCGTTATTGGACCCCACACAAGAGATAAAAATTCAAAATTGATAGTTTGATGTGAT